AAAAAAAAAAAATGTGTGTGTGTGTTTGTGTGTGTGTGTGTGTGTGTGTGTGTGTGTGTGAATCCATCTCAACTGATGGCTGGGTGTGATGGAGCCTACCTGCTATCCCAGTGGCGTGGAAAAAACACAAATAGGAGGCTTACTTTCTGGGCCTGCTGGGACATAAAGTAAGAATCCATCTCCAGAAATAACAAACATAAAAGGGGCTTGTGTAATGGCAAAAGTGATCGGGTGCTGGCCACTCTGGGAAAACAAACACGATAAACATTTTGTATAACTATTGAGCCTTTGTGATCCTCTCCTAAGAATATCCTCCTTGGCTCTCACTGTCTGAATGTCTAGAGTCCAGTATAATTTATCATGTCCAGGTGTATTTTTTTTTTTTGTCTTTTACCATCCAGTATCTTTACTTGTAGTTTTCTTTTTGTTTTTTTTTTTTGGGGGGGTCTGGTCATGGGGCCTGAACTCCACTTCTGGCTTTTTTCTTATGTGGTGCTGAGGAATGGAACCCAGGGCCTCAGGCATGCAAGGCAAGCGCTCTACCACTGAGCCAACTTCCCAGCCCTACTTGTAGGTTTATAAGCACTTTCTAGTTACAACAAATGAAGGAAGCCACGTAACCGGTTTCTTTGTGTCTGGCTTAATTTCGCTTAATGTAATTTTTTCTCATCTTTCCATTTATTTACAAATGGTACAACATTGTTCTTTCTGATGGATGTATTTTGTGTATATTGTTATTGTATATTTTGTTTTGTTTTGATTGTGTATATTGTTAAGTCCACCCAGGAAAAATGACCCCTTCTCTTTGTTTTCTCTCCATGCAAAACTGCATATAGACTCCTTCTACTTGGTTCTCTCTCAGTGCAAGACTGCAGGTGGCCCTCCCTAAAAGTCCTCACCCAGCACCTGTAACCCAGGTAACTGGTTGCTGTGCACCTGCAGGAGAGTGGGAGGTCTCCCAGGCTCTGAGGTTACTTCCTCATATGCTATGGTCACACCTCCTTCTCACCCTTCCTTATATAATCTCCACCGTAAGTCCAAGCTGCTACATACTACACCCTACTCTACAGTGTGGCCCAGAAGTTTGGCTCTCCCAAATAAATTCTTTTCTGTCTGAACCATATGGCAGTCTCCTTTCTGCAACCTTTACACACACACACACACACACACACACACACACACACACTCATCACTTTTTCTTGATCCATTCATCCATGGGGGTTGATTCCATATCGTGGCTATGGTAAACTATGCTGTGATGAACACGGTGTGCTTGTAGTTTTAGTGTGGTCTTGTTTGTGGTCTATTGGATAGATGCCCAGGAGTAAAATTGCTGGGTCATAGGGAAGCTCTATGTTTAGTTTTTTAAGAAAACTCTATACTGCTTTCCAAGAGTGCTTGAACAAGTTTACATTCCCACCAACAGTGTAGTAGAATTCCCTTTTGGCTATATCCTTGCCAGCTTGGAGGAGAGAGACTTAGAGGTAACATTGATATAGAGGGTTTTGTGTTTGTTTTATATTATTATTATTATTGTAAAGGTGATGTACTGAGGGGTTACAGTTACATAAGTCAGGTAATGAGTCCATTTCCTTTTGAGTAGTATCACTTCTTCCTTCTTTTTCTCCCAGATTTTCTCTTTTTTTTTTTGGTCAGCCGGGGGGCCTGAACTCTGGGCCTGGCGCTGTCCCTCAGCTCTTCAGCTCAAGGCAAACACTCTACCACTTGAGCCACAGCACCATATCCAGCTTTTTTCTGTTTATGTGGTGCTGAGGAATCGAACCCAGGGCCTCATGCATGCAAGACAGGCACTCTACCACTGAGCCAACTTCCCAGCCCCACCAGATTTTCTCTTCAAGCCCTCCTCCCGCACAAGTTGTATAGTTCATTTTCAACATAGTGTCTAGTGAGTATCACTGCTGCATTTGTTCATCCTTTGTCCCACCATTTCTGTGCTTCCCTTACTCTCCCCCAAACAGATTAACTTGCATACAGACAAAAGGTACAGAAAGCAAAAACAGTGACAAAGGAGGAAAAGAAAAACAAGAAGCAAAATAACACAAAACATTTTGTTTCCATTTCTTGGAGTTCATTTCAATAAATACCATTTTATAAGAAAAATTTTAAGAAATAACAGATACTGGAGGCTAGTTAGACTCACTCTATTCATAAACTGAATATGGTAATTCATACCTGTAATCTCAGCAAAAGGCAGTTGGGTTAGGAGAATCATGGTCCAGGAGTGGACTGGGTAAAAATATGAGACCCTGTGGGAAAAACTAAAGCAAAAGGAACTGAGCATGACTCAAGTGCCTGCCTATGAAACATAAGGCTCTGAGTTCAAACCCCAGTACTGAAAGAAGAAAAGAGTAAGAACAAACAAACAACAACCCCTCATTCCCCCCCAAAAAAACCCTAGGTATTTTTTATTGTGAAAATACTGTACAGAGGGGTTACAATTACATGAGTAAGATAATGAGTACATTTCTTATCAAGCATTGTAGCCTTCTCCTTTGCTTCCCGTTCCCATCCCTTCCCATCCTCCCCACCGTCCCCACCACCAAAGTTGTAAAGTTCGTTTTTCGACATAACGACTTGTACATCTCATTGTTGAAATGGGTCCTCCTGTATCCCTGTTTTAACTATTTGTTTTTTCCCTTCCCCTCCACATATACCAACATCATATATAGTGAAAGCAGGGGTTATACCATGGGGGAGGGACATACAAAGCAACAAAGACATAATCTTATAAATATGTTAGAAACAATCGCATGAAAGATCTCTCTCTCTCTCTCTCTCTTTGATCAGTCGTGGGGCTTGAGCTCTAGGCCTGGGAGCTATCCCTGAGCAATTCAGCTCAAGGCTCATGCTCTACCACTTGAGCCATAGCGCCACTTCTAGTTTTCTGGTGGTTTTTTTTTTTTTTTTGTGATTAAGTGATTACATCATTTCCCAAATTTCACAGTATTGTGGGATAGTGATGCTCATTTAAAGTCACAAACTCATTCTAACTTTCTGGAGCAAATTGTCTATCACAGTCTATAACATATAACCGTGTACACATATACTTCATACATGTGATCAGCAGCATGGGGTTATTTAATAGTGGTTCGACCAGATGAGTGGGAGTTCTTTGTTTCTTAAGTCCTGTTAATTTTGTCATATCACCTAACATTTTGGATTTAACATCCACTTATCAAGGAGACCATGTACCGTTTGTCTCTTTGCTCTTGGCTTACCTCGCTCAACATGATTTCTTCTAGCTCCATCCATTTCCCTGCAAATGCCATTATTTTGTCATTTCTAATGGCTGCATAATATTCCATTGTGTATAGATACCACGATTTTTTGATCCATTCACCTGTGGTGGGGCATCTGGGTTGTTTCTGTATCCTAGCTATTGTGAACAGTGCTGCAATAAACATGGAGGTGCATGTGTCCTTGTATATTAGTTCCTGTTGTTCAGGGTAGATGCCTAGAAGTGGTATGATTGGGTCATTAGGGAGGTCAATATTTAGCTTTCTGAGGACCCTCCAGACTGCTTTCCAAAGTGGTTGTATAAGTGTACATTCCCACCAGCAGTGTAATACAGGGTTCCTCTTTCTCTGCATCCCCTCCAGCATTTGTTGTTGACTGACTTTTGAATGTAGGCCATTCTGACTGGGGTAAGGTGTTATCTCAGGGTTGTCTTTATTTGCATTTCCTTCACAACTAGGGATGGTGAACATTTCCTCATGTGTTTCTTTGCCATTTTTATTTCTTTATCTGAGAAGTCCCTCTTTAGTTCTCTTGCCCATTTAGTAATTGGTTTGTTAGGTTTAGGAGGGATTAGTTTCTTGAGTTCCCTGTATATACTGGATATTAACCCCTTGTCTGATATATTGCTGGTAAATATTTTTTCCCAATTAGTTGGTTGTCTTTCTAGCTTAAACCCTAGTATTTTTTTTTAAATTTTATTTTATTTTATTTGTGAACATACTGTACAGAGGGGTTACAATTGCATGGGCGGGATAATGCGTACATTTCTTACCAAGCATTGCCGCCTCCTCCTTTGTTTACCCTTCCCATCCCTTCCCAGCCTCCCCCCTCCCCCCCATAACCCTAGTATTTTTAAACCCTCCCCTGCTTTGGAGAAGGTTGTAGAGCTTTGGACAAGTCATCTTCGTCTTGTCAAATGTTTTCTTGACTGTAAACAGCTAACAATAGTACATACCCCATAGGGTTAGAAAGGTGACGAATGCAGGGGACTGGGCCAAGGCTTGGGACACAGTGAGGGCTCAGTTAATGCCACCTGCACTTGCGCTTGTATGTCATCAGTATGTGTTCATGGGGAGGGACAGGTAGATGGCGCTGCTGCTGTTGTAAAAACCCACAAAATGCCTCATCCTTCTTACCATAAAGACCTGAGGTTTTGAGATTGTCACTACATTCTGTTCCTGGGGGCAAGAGTGGTGCTGGGGGTAAGAGGTGGAGGTGCTAAGTTGGAAGGACCAGTTGAAACCTGAGGAAACAGGAGAGTAGCAGGGAGATAAATACATTTGGGGGGGGAGCGGGTACTTAAGAGTGGGGATATAGCTAATGTCATCCCTCCGTGGAATGAATATCTCTCTAGTTGTTGTACTGTTTGCCTGCCCATGCTCCCCTTCCAGAGAGCTTCTGCTCCCAGCCCTGCTGATCTGGAAGTGCCCTGCCCCCAGAGGCTAGTGTGGATAGCCAATCTATGTGGTTCTCCCAGGTAGGGGAGGTTTTTAGGATCACTATTGTGTGGCAGGATCCTTGGCCTCTCAGGGATAAATTAAGTAGGGGTTTAGGAAGAAGCTTCTCAAGCTGGTTAGGTCAGAGCAAGCAGCTTGGACCCCTAAAACAAAAGAAAGAACGCTCATGAAGGATTCCCAAGATAGAAATCAAACCAGGGAGCCAGCTGTCATTGCCCTGAACATTTTTTAATAACAAACATATTTTATATTTGCCAGTCAGCACTTGTGAGAGCCTGAGATGGGAGCTTTTTCCTATGGGAGATCCCATGGGATCTGAAGAAGTGAGCCTAGAGACTTCCTGTTGCCCGAACAGAGCCTCCGTAATTCTAGGTGTTAGGCCAGGCAGACTGTTGGAGTTGCTACTGTGTGATTGAATCTGTGTCCTTCCAGGGATGACTGGCAGAGAGTTGGGGAGAAGCTTCCCAAATTAGAATAAGAGAGCACAGTAACAGATGGGTTTATACAAAGTCAGATTCAAGATGCCTTCTGTCCTAGCTCATCTCCAAAGAGTTGATATATTCCCGAACCCATTTCTTCTCAGGGTTGGCACATACCTGGCGGTTCTTTCGAGTCACAAAGCTGGAGAGAAGAAGACAGTAAGACCTTGTTAGGACGGGGACAGCCAGTTTTGAGTCCAAGGTGGATTGAGGCATAAAGGGGCATGGTCATAGTAGCAAGGGAGGGTATTTTTTATGGAACCCCATAAGCGCTTACTTATTTATTCATCCATTTGTTTTTGTGCCAGTATTGGGGTTTGAACTCATGGCCTCACACTCCAGCTTGGCTTTTTTTCATCAAGGCTGATGCTTTACCATTCAGTCTACATCTTCACTTCCAGCTTTCTGCTGGTTAATTGGAGATAGAGTCTCATAGGCTTTGAACTGTGATCCTCAGATCTTAGCCTCCTGAGTAGTTAGAATCACAGGCATGAACAATGTGAGATCCAAGGGCCTGGTGCTAGACCTGGCTCAGAAAGGTTGAGGGGCCTGAGACCTTGGCAGCATCAAAGAACTTTATGCATTTAATTGCCATCATGTGCAATCCTGAGAGTTGGAGGCCTTGTTCCTGCAGTCATGAAGGTCAGTCCAGCTTCCTCTTTACCTACCTGATATGAGACTAGTTCTGTGTGGGAAAGACATGGGTCTGGGCAACAGTGCAGCCAAGGAATCCATAACTTTGGTTGGTCCAACCTACTTGGCTCCTTCTCATTTTTGCTTCTAATTTTTTTTTTTTGGGTCGGTTATGGGGCCTGAACTCTGGGCCTGGGTGCTGTCCCTGAGCTCTTCATCTCAAGGCAAGTGCTCTACCACTTTGAACCACAGTGCCACTTCTGGTTTTCTGGTGGTTTATTGGAGATAAAAGTCTTATGGACTTTCCTGCCCGGGCTGGCTTTGAACCGTGATCCTCAGATCTCAGCTTCCTGACTAGCTAGGATTACAGCCACCACCGCCTGGCATTGGCTTCTTCTTTAGGGTGTGTTCCCATACATTATTATCATACTTTTTTAAATGGAACATTGGCCAGGCATTGATGACTCATGTCTGTAATCCTAGCTTCTCAGGAAGCTGAGATCTAAGGATTCATGATTTGAAGCCAGACCAGACAGAAAAGTCCATGAGACTCTTACTCCAATTAACTTACTTCCAACTAACCAGCAAAAAGCCTGAAGTAGATCTATGGCTCAAGTGGTAGAATACCAGCCTTGAGTGAAAAAGCCTTGTGAAAGTGCAAGGCTCTAAATTCAAGCCCTAGTACTGAGGAATCAAACCCAGGGCTTCATGCATGTTAGGCAAACACTCTACCACTAAGCCACATTCCCAGTCCAAGTCCATGAGACTCTTACCTCCACTCTTAACCACCAGAAAACCAGAAGTGGCGTTGTGGCTCAGTACCAATGTGTACTCAAAAAAAAGAAAGAAAATACAGAACTGAAACCTACTGTCCCAGTAGGTTTTTGTGGTAGAGCGCTCACTTTGAGCTGAAGAACTCAGGGACAGCCCCCAGGAAAAAAAAATCGAACATTGATTTTACTTACTAAAGGTAGGACACTAATGTAAATACTTTAGGGGTTTTCATAGAAAGATATTGTGCAGCTCTCTAGAAGTTTTAAAATCTTAACTGAAGTTCCTAGTAACAAGGATGGAGAGAGAGGAGCCTGGCTATTTTAGGAGCTGGAGGGTGGTGGGAGTTGGGAGGGCACCCTCAGAGGGCTCCTGTAGGAGGATTAGATCTGGGAGCTAGCAGCATCCCTTCCTCAACCTTGTATCCTCTAGAGAAATCCCTGAGACTGAGACTTACACAACTGCTAGGTTGGAGCACTTGCCACTGGTGTAGAAATACTCCTTGATGTGGGTTCGAGGCAGTGGGCGAGAGATGTAGGCAAAACAGCAGGGGGTGGTATCAGAGGCATCTGAGGAAGGAAGGAGGCAACCTTTTTATTCATTGCAAATGTACAATGGGAAGTTTGGTATACACAATTATCCTTGATAGAAACGGGGCTTCAAAGGCAGTAAAGGTATTTGGTGATAAATACACAGTGGCATAGAAGGGATTCTATCAGAAGTCACTAATCTCTCTAAAACCTGTTAGACCCTTGAGTCAAGCTGGTATCCCTTCATATTATAACAGCCTACTCTGATTCTCAAGACATTCTAGACCTTCTCCTTCCCTGTTCAGGGTTCTCTGCCCTCATTCTTGTTCTTTCAGGGTTCCTAGTGGGTTTGAAACTTGGTTCTTTGAGGTATAGGATAGGTTATAAGGAGTCTTTTCAAAACTGTAGCTCAGTGGCTCAACCAGAAATTTAGTTGGACCTGCAAAACACATATGGCGGGCTGGGAAGGTTGCTCAGTGGTAGAGCGCTTGCCTTGCATGCCTGAGGCCCTGGGTTTGATTCCTCAGCACCACATAAGCAAAAAGCTGGAAGTTGCGCTGTGGCTCAACTAGCCTTGAGCTGAAGAGCTGAGGGACAGTGCCCAGGCCCAGAGTTCAGGCCCCACGACTGGACCCCCCCAAAAAAAACCACATATGGCATTCTGGGAGCCTCTGGCTAGGTGGCAGTGGGAACTCTGAATTGAGAACTTAAAGTTACTTCATTTAAGATGTTCATAAGCAGCTCATATACCACTCCCTAGCAGAGATGTGGTGTTTCTTGTCCTAATCAAAGCTTGCTTGGAAACCCATTTCCTTGCTTCCTATAACAACCTTTCAGGCCTTAGTTTCTCTTCTGTACATCAAAGCAGCTACTCAAAGAGTAGTTTCATTAATAAGATAACATATAGAGCAATCAGCACAATGCCTGACCCATAGTAGCCTTTTAGTTAGCCTTTATTCTTAAGTCTCACTTTTTTCTATCTATAACATGAATGAAGCTGCCCACTGTAATCCTCAGGGAGCTCAGGCCTAAGGATCACAGTTCAGAGCCAGCCTGGGCAGAAAAGTCTGTGAAACTCTTATCTCCAATTAACCAGCAAAAACTGGAAAGAGAGGTGTGGCTCAAGTGGTAGAGTACCAGTGTTGAATGAAAATGCCAAGCCAGAGTTCAGGGCCCTTAATCTAAGCTCCAGTACCAATGTGTACTCAAAAAAAAGAGAAAGAAAATATAGAATGAAACCTATTGTCCCAGTAGTTTTTTGTTAATTGTTTAAAAGCTTCTTAGAAACTCTGCTGGTGACAGGTATGAGTCAGTCATGGCCTGCCAGCATGAGCTCACACTCAGTGAGCCCCAGCAGGGCTTAGCTGCATGGACCTTGGAGACAGAAAAGCTGTTCATAGATCTTGCCGTGAATGGGAGCACCAGGACATCTGGATAAAACAGTAGATAAGAAAGTAAATAATGGAATAGTGGGATGAGGTGGGTCTTTTAGGGGAGAGAATGGGCTGACTTCATGGGTAGAGGTGGTCAGGATGGGAACTTACATGGGGAGGCGGATGCAGGGGCGCAGAGGGCCGCGATGGTGAGAAGGATGGCGAGGGCTGCTGCAGACATCTTCATGGTTCCTGGAGCTCAGGATGTGGCAGAGGCTCTGCCGTCTCAGGATCCCTCCACAGCTCAGGAGGGCCCTTTATAGTGAGCCAGTGCCCCCCTCCTTCCCCCAGGCAGTTTCCAAAACACTGCTTAGTGTGCTGGCTGATGTCATAAGTGAAGTTATACGAAATGGAAAAGAAAACTGAAATAGTCTCCGGAAATGTGAGTGGCTTTTCAATTCTCTCTGTCCTCCCATCCAGGGTGAGCTTATTGCCTCCCCTTTTGCTTCACCTTCCTGTATAGACTCTCCCCAGAGAGGGGGAAGCTGCTGCCCCAAAGGCAAGAAGAGGGGAATTATAGTAGAGATGGGTCAGAGCCACTAGTCTGCACTTGGTTCCTTTCCAAGCTCCTGCTTAGCTTTGATTTTATATCTGTCTTTTCTCATCCTGCAGAAGGATGTGATTAACAAGATGTTTTATTGAGGAACGTCCTTTGGTCACATAGTCTCCAAAGGAGGTGAGAGAACACACCCCATGACTGGGGGCAGTGGCTCTGAGTGGCATTGTTTTTGTTTTTGTTTTCCCACAGGATAGAAGTTGGAGTGATTCCTGTTTTGGTGGGAGAGGGTGGTTTCTTGCTTTCATTGTGCCCATCGGGTCACTCCTATTTACTTGCTGAATGATATTTGGGAAAATTCCTTAATATATCTAATTTGTTTCCTTTCTGTGTATGTGACCATCCTGGGGCTTGAACTCAGGGCCTGGGTGCTGTCCCTGAGCTTCTTTTACTCAAAGGCTAGCACTCTACCACTTTAGCTACAGTGCCATCTCTGGCCTTTTCTGTGTATGTGGCACTGAGGAATCAAACCCAGGGCTTTATGCATGCTAGGCAAGCACTCTACCACTAAGCCACATTCCTAGTCCAAGTCCATGAGACTCTTATCTCCACTCTTAACCACCAGAAAACCAGAAGTGGCGGTGCGGCTCAAGTGGTAGAGAGCTCGCCTTGAGCTGAATAGCTCAGGGACAGTCCCCAGGCCCAGAGTTCAAGCCCCACAACTGACAAAAAGAAAAAATAAAAAAGAGTGTTTTGGGCACCATGGTGAGCAAGGCAGTCAGAGGCCTGTCCCTGAAACAGCTCTGCAGGAGGGGGATCTGGAGAAGGGAATAATGTAAAGGATATGTGTGCTCCTTGATTGTGAATCACTGTCTTCATCTCTTGTAGAATTCTGTGACGATAGCATTCTTTTCTGTTTATCTTTGGTATTCTACTGCCTTTCAACCAGTGTTTTAGATATGAGAGATGCTAAGTCAACACAGTCTTAATAGCTTATAGCATATTGAATAAGCATATCACTTATTAATAAAGGCTTTGGGAAAGTTGATTACTTCCTTTCCTTTAAGCCTAAGTTTCCTCATTGGTAAAGTGAGAGATTGGATCCAACCCATTTTGAGTAGTGGAACCATTCAGGAATCTGATGAAAGCCATTGGCATTTCCATCAGTACAAAGAGAACTACACCATACACTTGTTTTACATATGGAGGGTTCTTAGACTTCTGGCACCCTTTTCCCACAAGCCTCTCTAAAGCCACAAGCCTCTTGTCTCTAGCCAGTGCAGCCTGCCCAGTACAAGTTTGGCTTTTCCACTGTCATTCTCTCTTTTCCCAAGCATAGATGGCTGGCTGCCTGCCAGTTTTACCCTGTGCTGTTACAAAACTGAAAACCGAATGCAGGCTGAGAAACTGAAACCTTGTTCCGTGTAGATTCCAGTGCTTTGGTCAGACATGGAGGCAAGTCTTTTCACAAACAACTACTAAAGCAGGGAAAGTCCCCCCAGTCTCTAGGAATCTGGGTCCCTAAGAGAAGCTAGATGCAAAGCCACTTTCCACCAATGGGCTCTAATTTTCCTCATCTGTAAATAGGAGGGTCCAATCCCTCAGAGGAGGAGGGAAAGTACTAGTTGGCTCAGCAAAGCACTGTCTCGCTGTCTCTGTAGGTTCTCAGTTGGGACAAGTGCTCCATGGGTAGTGGTTAAGGATCTGTAAAAGGTGGTGTAGTTGCAAACTGAGACCTTCCAGCAGGCTCAGGGAATGGGCCTACGTGTAGAAGAGGCTCCAGACAATTATGTCCTGCCATTGGCTTTGAATCTGGTCCTGGTTTGCTCTTTTTATGTTAATCTACCCCATGTCATTTATTGTTTTCTCTCCTTCTCTCCCTTTTTTTTCCTTCCCTGCCACCAAATATGTATTTCGTTCGATAAGTCAGGGATACTGACTTGAACAGCTGCTCTTACAGTTCTGACCACATTCAGGCTGGAAGGTTGCAGCTTGGCCTTTACCCACTCTTCTCACCTCCACCACATAGGACAGTGAATGACTGCACACCCCCACTTGTTTTCTGCAGATGGAACCACATGTGGTATGTTCGTTGATGGGTGCAGTGCTCATCAGCCTGGTGTTACTGGAAGGACCCTCACAAAGTACCTTAGGGGTTATGTGGTTGTGGGAGTGAGGGCTTAGGGTGTGCACTGGTTTTACAATTGCTGGGTGACAGATGCCTCAGGCCCTAGTCCTGACACATTGGAGTCCATTTTTTTTCCGAGTCCTAAGCACTGTCTCTGAACTTTTGTGCTCAAGGCTAGTGCTCTTCTACTTTGAGCCACCATGCCATTTCTGGCTTTTTGGTAGTTAACTGGAGATGAGAATCTCATGGACTTTCTTGCTCAGGGCAGCTTTGAACCATGATCCTCAGTTCTCAGCCTCCTGAGTAGCTAGGATTACAAGTATGGACCACCAACACCTGGCTTGGAGTCCTTTCTTTTTCCTTTCCTTTTCTTTTCTTTTTGCATGGTATTTAGAGGCTTTCCTTTTTCATCATGTATACCCGTTAATGAAATTCCCTATTTTGCACTCTTCAGGAGCTCTTATTGTCAGTGTACTGCCCTTCATTTGTGCTTTCCCTGCTTTTTAGCAGAAAGCCTGATGAGTCAGAACAAACTTGAGGTTGAAATCTGATAAAACTATGTGTCTGATTAGACATTGTTTATATGTCTTTGGATGAACCATAATTTTTCTCTATCTTTGTTTCTTTTCTGGAAATGGGGCTAAGAACACCTAGCTCCTAGAATACCTCTGAGAATTAAATGAAGCAGTGTACTTTGTACCATTTTTACCACAAAGTAGGTGATCAGAAAGAAATTCCTTATTTTTCTTCTCTGGAATATCTAGGCTCCAGCATTTCTTCTCCCAGTGACCTCTCTTTCCTGATAATAAAGCTTATCTCAGCTGAGACTCAGGAGGCATTGGGGTGAGAGAGGAGGAGAGCAGACAACAATTTTCCATCAGTGGTCAGATGCCAGTGCTAGACTCTGGTGGCATTATTCTACTATTAGGCAGAAACACCTACAATGTGATAATGACTCAGAATGCCCTGAGGTTTGCACCCTCTTGTGTAGCTTCCTTCAGACACCCAGTTTCATGTTCTACCCTTCACCAGATCTTTCTTTCAGAGCCTAGCCATGGACTGAGACATGATTCCTTCTTTTTTCCTGGCTGTCCTCATAGGCCAGTACCCAGATGCTTTCTAGATGAGTTTCACATACAGGCTTAAAAACAAAGTGACAAAATGTTCAGAATCTAACAGGAGTCTGTAGTTGTGATCTGGATTCTGCTCCTTTTTAATTTTTGTTTTGGGACTTGAAATCAGGGCCTGGTTGCCATCCTTTAGCTTTTTTTGCTCAAGGTGGACACTGCCACTTGAGCCAGAGCTCCAGTTCTGGCTTTTTGCTGGCTAATTGGAGATAAGAGTCTCATGAACTTTCTTGCCCAGGCTGGCTTCTAACTCAATCCTAAGATTTCAGGCTCCTGAGTAGCTAGGAATATGAGTTTGAGCCTTTGGTGCTTGGATTCTATCCCTTTTTTTGATCTGATCTCAGGAAGTCTCTTGGCTTCTTGTGCATTGTCTTCAGTCTCAGAGATGGAGGTCCCCAGTCCCTTGTTTCTCATCTACACTGCTTCCCCAGCCCCCTCTGCCCACATCTTCTCCAGCTCTCAGTTCTGCAGAACATTCTGACCTTAGAACCTTAGAACCTCTGCAGCCATTTGCATAGTTGAGGAATTTCCATGTAAATGTGGAAATCCCTCTAATTAGGTTTTGGAAATGCTGTACCTTGGTCAGCTATTCCTTCTAGACTAGTTAGCTTTGGTGAAAAGAGGAAGAGACTAAGAAATGAGAGGCCTGAATTTAGTCCCAGTTTACCCTCAATTGTACTTTCCCTACTTTTCCTTTGTAGACTTATTTCCTCATCTTGGAATTGGAGGGCCAAGAATACTGTTTCTGAGACCCTTTCCTTCCTACAAAAGTAAGCCAGATGCCCATGACTCATGCCTGTAATCCTAGTTACACAGGAAACTGAGATATGAGGACTGAGGTTTGAAACCAACCTGAGCAGGAAAGTTTTCTGTGAGAGTTTTATTTCTTTCTTTTTTTTTTTTTTTTGGGTCCGGTCGTGGAGCCTGAACTCTAAGCCTGGGCACTGTCCCTCAGCTCTTCAGCTCAAGGCTAGTGCTCTACCACTTGAGCCACAGTGCCACTTCCGGCTTTTTTCTTTTTGTTTATGTGGTGCTGAGGAATCGAACCCAGGGCCTCGAGCATGCAAGGCAAGCGCTCTACCACTGAGCCACCTTCCCAGCCCTGTGAGAGTTTTATTTCTAATCAACTAAAAAAATGCTGAAAATGGAGCTGTGGCTCACATGGAAACACTCCAGCCTTGAATGAAAAAGCCAAGGGATAGCACTTAGGCCCTGAGTACAAGCCCTAGTACTAGGCACATATGCACATGCACATACACACACATACATACATTTGTACTCACAAAGATTAAAAAAACCCAAAACAACCAAGTGACCCTGGTGTACTAGAGATAGACTTGGGGTTGGAGACTTATTGCCCCAAATCAGTTTGCATCACTCCTCCTATGGGTAAGGCTGAAGACTTGTCATCCCTTGCTCCCCTCTCATCCTTCCGAGGCCTGGCATTCAACGTCCCACTTAGCTCCAGGAAATGCTGCACTCCTCCATCTACCCACCACATCAGCTTCTACCCTCCACTCACTCTCCCCTTCACTCCTCACAACTTCCCATGCATCCATCCTTTCCACTACTCATTCATCTCTATATCTCCTGTTGGT